AATCACCTGGTCCAGTTATTTTTGACTTTAAGAAATTAAGGCATTATTATAGCCCCATTTTCCAAACAAGATATGAGCAACAATTCAAGTTAACTAGAATGTCTTCTGTCTCCTAAGTGCAATAGTTTTTATTTTGGTCCTATAGCTTAACTGTCATGAGAATGTAATTATTCTCCTCACTTTTCTCACAGGTGTTGTATACAGGTTAATAGAAGACTGTAAAGCACTTTGAAAACACCAAGGAAAGCTTATAAATATAACATTACCAACAGAGATACCAGCACTTGGAATAGATGGGTCTCAAGGAAAAGTAACAGGTGTGGATTTAGCTCTTTGAAGAATTAACTGGAGGAACTAGAATTACATTCAACCTATTTAAAAGAACCAAACTCACTTGCTGCAAATATGTTAGTGTAATTAGGAGCAATGAAATGTTGAGAAGGAACAGGAATGCCACTAATTGATTTATCATTAGATTTGAGAGAGTAATAAAGAATAGGTAAAATATTCTGTAAAATAAAAAATCCTGAACAAAGTGGACTCCTCGGGGAAGGGCAAAAGGAAATAACAGGTTTTTCTTACAACTTAAGAATCCTATACAACCTCTAATCATTTTTTTTCTTTTTGTCCTTAAAGTGATCTGTAGTCAGTCACTGAATGCTGAATGCCTGGACTCATTATCTTCCTGTCTCCAATCTTTCTTCACTTTGCATTCTAAACCAAATTGCCCCTGCCCAAATCACAATCTTTACCAGCTTCTTTGAACACATCAACCGCCTCACAAATCCTTGTTATCCCCTGTATTGAATTACTCATTATTTCAAGGCTATCCATCAATCCACTCCAATCTAGTCTCTTTCCTGATCCTTCTCTACCTGTATTCCTTCTTTCAATACTACACTTTCTCTTCATATACCTGAAACAAATCCCATTCTTGCATCTGATAAGTCATCTCTCTTCACCTTTCTTGAAAACCAACTTGTATTTGATGTGAGGGGCTGAGTCTACTTGATAGAAGCCTATTGGTAGTTCTCAGATATAATTGCTTAGGGAGATTAGGGCTTCCCTCTTCCTTACATGTTTCTATCTGGGAGGAGCAAGGACCAGATGGTCTGGAGCAGAATGTGGAAAAGTGCTGCTGAGTAGAGATTGCTTAGAGTATGTGCTAGTTCTAAGTATTAGAGGATCTGCCGTATTTTAGGATTTGTCTCACCTTTTCATTCAGTTAACACTTTATCTTTAATAAAAGCCTCAATTCATATGCTGTCATCCTTGGTGAACATGTGTAGCGGTCACTATCAGAAAGACAGATACCTAGAGTGAGGGAAGGCTAATTCTTTTAGTTAGCCAAATAGGCACAATGGTGTCAGGAAGGTTATTCCAAAGAGAGGTGGCAATGTTACATTGTACAGTATTACTCTGGAGAATAAAATTCTTAGATGAGGGGCTTTTCTATTATTAGATCCAACGTGAGTGATATGGGCAGAATCTGGTTACCTGGCAGATATTGAGCTTAGAAACAATATGTATTTTGGATTTTAAAATTTTATTCACCTCAATATAACAGCATATATAAAATGTTGCACAGACAAAAAGCATTTCTAAAACCTGGTCACTCCTTTGGGATTGGCACAGAATACAAGTTTTTTTGTTTTGTTTTGTTTTGTTTTTTGGCGGGGGGGGGGGGGGGGGGGGGAGTGTGGAAATCAATGGTAGAAGAATTTCCCTAAGGGTAGATCTGATTTGGAGAAAGTCAAAAGTCACTTGAGAATAAGTCTGGTGAAATAAGGTGGGTAATAATCTGAATATAAATTTTAGTGAAATATGGATATAAAAGGATGACCTCTCTTCCCGTTAGAGTGAGTATCTATAAGCTTTACAACATGCCACCTTTAAAAGAAATAATGATTACTAAGTAATAGTTTCTAAAGTTTTGTTTGGGGCACAGAAATATGTATCTGATTTTATGATACTAATGGAAGAACAGGCATAGCTAGGGAAGACTACAACACATTCAGCTTCTTTGGAGGCCAGGTAATAAGGTTTTCCATCAACCTCCTATGGCTTCAGGATGGCAAGCAGCTTTTGTACAGATATAGATCGGTAGTCCTGCTTGACTTAAATGAGTGATGCAGTTCTTGGGAAGCAGAAAGTGGTGCTGGATTACACAAAGACAACCAAAACTAACACAAACACACGTAGGCTTCCTGGTATGTAAATTATTTTTGAGGTTAAAGATCTCCTTTTACAGAATTTATATATAACAAATTTAAAAACCAAACTTCTTGACCTCCCAACATTAAATAACTAAATGTGCAAAAGAACCACCATTAAATATGGCATAAAAAGCTATACATTTTCTATGAAACAATATATGCACAGATTTTCAAAGCTGTGAAAATGCAATAAAGAGCACAACACATTTTGGTCACTTTATTAAATGACATTAAATAGTTTAAGTTTCAACTACTAAACAGCACTTTGAATGGTGAAAACACAGATAGTATTACTGTCATACTTGAATGCTTTTCTTTAAGAACACAATTCCAGTCCTTATATATATTACAAAACAGCCTCAAAGGAAGAAGTGACATCTTTTCTACAGTACTTAAGGTACTCAATACAGAAACAAAGGCAAGTCTTCACAGCTGTATGATTTCAGCAGCCAAAGCTGGATGGTGACTGAAACATCACTATACAACTGGGACAGAACATATACAATATCACAATACTACGCAAAAATGCTTTACACCCAAAGAAATAAAACAGGTTACAAAATGTGGAGAATTTAGCAGGCAAAACTGTATTACAAGCAACATTTTAAATCGTCATTTTCTTTAAGCCATTGCAACTATTTAAAACATCTAAAACAAATATAAAACTGAGCCTTTTAGTATCTTATTGATGTGATTTTTTTTCTTTAAATATTTGTTAAAGCTTGATTTTATACTCAAAGTACAGATTATGTAGCTAAAATGTTAAGTGAGAATAGTGTATGCAAAGTGGTCCAAGTTTTATTTCAAAGTCTCTTATTTCCAATTAATTAATCCTTCCATGTATTACTTTTAAGTCATACTACCATCATAGTACAACAGTTTAGAAGGTTGCTTAAAATTTTCATATCTATGTCTTTGAGCAGGTAATCAGACCATATTGAAAGTTCCCAGATCTAATGAATCAGGTTTAAAGTATTCTGGACTTGTAGAAATACCGACTGATAACAGCTGTCGAGTATACTGTCTTCAAAGATTTACCTCATAAATCTTGTCTTTTTAATTTTTCCTAAAGTAAACACACATCTTCCCCCCCTCAATTAAATAAATTTGATTATATGGCTGTTATAATATCCAAATATATGGAATTTATTAGTGATAATTCATCATGGGAGGTGTGTGGGGGGGTGGATTCAACAAACCTTACAAGTTTCATAATCACAAACCTAGTGCTCTTGGATGTTTTATCACTAGTTCTTTCATGATAAAAATGGAAATCTCCTAGCTGTCCAAACATCTCAGAAGAGTTTTAGCTACTGTTAAACTCATTCTAATCCAGTGATACCTGGAGCAAATCAATCTTCCACTCAACTTTCTAGAATTCCTTAGCTGTTTCCACTTGCTGTTATATCATCATCTCAAAAATGTTTTTGTCATGTTGAGTTGACTTCCATAGTCTAACACTCTTTTTAAGAAACTCAAGCAAAGAATTGTACATGAATAAACTTATAGGTTATTTTTACAGGTCTGGATTAAAGAAAAACAACAATGTAATGATTTTCTAGTAGAACTTCACAAAGGAGTATTACATGAATTCATTTGGATCAGAAAATTGTCTCCCAGACCTAAAATTAAAAAAAAAAATCAAACTGAGATGTAATTTAAGGAAACAGGGAAGTTGGGGGAAAAGACCATGATGAGAGAAAAGAAGACATAGAAACCAGTGATCCTTATCTTTAAAAGGAATTAATTCACAACACTGACAGTACTGGGAATTGTTAAAGCACATTCCTCATGTGAACTTAAAGTCAGCAATGGTTCTGCCATTTTGATGTTGTTTATAAAACAGGGTGTGAACTTAACAACCACAATGTCATCCTTAACCTCCTAAAATGCTAGAACTTGGTTTTGTTAGACCATATCCCACTGCCAGCAATAGGATGAAGCACTAGCACTGGCACCAAGCAGTTAAGAGATGTGCTTTATATCAGTGCCAGGAGAGAGAATATTCATGTGTGGAAGATAATCAGCAACCCTGAAATTTTACCAGTAATTATTTCAGTACATATAACTGAAAATAAAAATGGCAGAAAGACTCAAGAAGAAAAAGGAATTCTCTTCTTAGGCTGTACTTAAGGCTGTTTATACAATACTAGGATAACTGCAAGACTCCTCCAAGTTTTAGAGCAGTAGTATTTAAGAATATTGCACACAATTCTGTGTCAAAGATAACCCTTAGTTTCTAACGTTCAGTCACAGACACGATTTAGCAAGAGCCCAGTTTCAGATTTCAGTCAAAAGAACATTAAAACCATTTCAATCATTTAATCAAGAAATTGATTAAGTACAAAATTATTTTATAACTTGAGGAATCAACTCTAAGAACTCAGCTGTGTGTTTTTATATGTAAAGAATGAATATATAAATCTGTATTCTTTCCTAAATTCATTAATTTCATGACAATTTAATGGTCGCTAAAAGCAGGCATAAAAATTTAGAGAGGAAATCTGTGGAGGTGTTACTGTATGGAACAACTTGTTTTCACTGAAAACAATTTGAAATATCTTCTGTACTCAATGTGTGTAAGAAGATTCTAGGCAACATCGCTGACAAATGTCAGGAAGAAATGGTATGCCCTATTTTTAAAAAGTTTTAAACTAATATGGAAGATTGGCATTTAAGGGGACCAAACTATTTATACAGTTGAGTTCTGTTAAGTCATTGATTCCTAAAAAAATAAAAGATCTTTCTATGATTTTAACAATCCTTTAAGCTTTTAGTGCAAAATCACATTGATTTCCCTTGGGAAGGTCCTGGATTTTTGCTTCTCATTGGGGGTGGTGCACGCTGTAATGGTGGTGGCTGCAAACCACCAGCCATTGACTGATACATTCCTCTCATATCAATCTGCTGGTAGTTAGAAGGATTCATGATTAAATTTGGAGGCTTTGGCATCATGAGGTGACTTAGTGCTGCTTGTTGATAAGTCATTTGTTGCTGTTGCTGCTGATTGTACTGCTGCTGGAGCCTTCGGTTCATAAGTATTCGCTGAACACAGCTTATTAACTAAAGAGAGAAAAGGGAGCTGTTACAAGTGCATGACCTGTCTCAAAGAGGCAAGTATCAAGTTTTGGGTTAAAATCAATTTGTTAGGGGGTACCATACCAAAAGGAAAACACATTATTGTTATCACCATTACTAATTTGATGGCATTCACAAGACCATTACTGTAGAAACCAGTTAGTAACACCATTTAGGGCTAAATTCTCCTAATGACTTAACTATTGTATTGCAAGCAGCATTTAGTAACCTGTCTTACACTGTGATTAGTCTCAAGTGTTAGTTACAGCACTTTTTGTCATGTCTCCTTTCTTTGTCCTTCTTTTGAATATTTCACATTATAATATATAAATAAACATTTTTAATGACAGACACCAAAGAGGAAAAAGTGCTCACAGTAGGAATAATTTCTACCTGGAATGTCTGAAATTTCCTAACAAAATTTAAAACCACACAACTCTACAGTATTTTCTGAGTAAAATTCATGCCACAGAAATTGATTCTCTTGTGTCAAGAGTTGAAATTTCCTAGTGCAAGGCAGGTGGCTAGCAAAGGACTGCTGGGAAAGATGATCAAGGATCCTGGAATCTGCCATACTTTTTTTTAAAAAAACAAAGCAACATTTTACTTTTGTTATGATAAAATAATGCTATAAAAATTCCTTTTAAGATGTCCAGGATATATAAAAAGTAAAATTATATGGATGACAGCATATATAAACTTCAAGGGAACTCATTTGGGAAGGTATTGCTCCTTTGTAACAAAAGATCATGCCTTTTCTTGTCATTACTAGGTTTTTCTGACAAAATTTCTTCCAGAAATTACCATGTTCATCTGTCCATATGAGGGATTACATAGACACCACATAAACGCCTTATTATAAATTAGAGAAAATTAAACATAACCAAGAGATACTCAGAAATCTTACCATCTGCTGTTTTGTCAATACATCATTGTAGATTGCTTCTCTTCGTTTAACATCAAGCTCCTGGCTGGCTTGTCTACTCAATGCTAATGCCTGTACTTGGGCCTCTGAGAGATTCATGTTTTCCTTCCACTAAAAGAAAAAGTTTCTATTTACTCCTGTTGCAGTAGAACTGAGGAAAAATAATTAAACTACTTGAAGATATTCAGGGTCTTTCAAGTTTTTTTCTCTCCTTTCCTTTATTCTGCTTAAAAGAAAACAACATTGCTAAGTGCCAAAAACAAAACAAAACAAAACACAAAAAACCTGGTACATAAAGGAATAGTATGTAGCTATAAAAAGAAGAATCTCTTACCCTTTGAAAGAGCAGGGAGGGACCTGGAGATTATTATGCTAAGTGAATAAACCAGTCAGAGAAAGACAAGTGTTACATGATGTAACTTTATATGTGGAATCTAATGAACACAATAAACTGATGAATAAAACAGAACCAGAGACATGGAAACAAGGAACAGAATGACGAATTTTAGAGGGAAGGGAAGAGGGGGAGTGGGAAGAGATTAACCAAATAACTTATATGCATATATGCTTGCCCATGAATATAGACAATCAGTAGTGAAGGCCTAGGGCCAGGTGAGAACTGGGCGGTGGGGGACAAAGGGGAAAAACGGGGTGCATCTGTAATACTATCATCAATACATTTTTTAAAAAGCAGGGTACTAAGTTTTCCACTGTTGTACAAGGGTTGGCTATCTTTGCAATAAAACTGTATTTAATTTGTGAAGCTTATCATAAAAAATATGTTTATGTAAACAATGATTACATTTCTATGATTGATTGACTTCCTAATTTTTAGATTTCAGCCACTTCTCTTTTGTGCCAACATCTAGGTAAAAATGCTAAATTATACCTTGTCACTATTAATCAGTTTACTAGTGTTTTACTATTGTGAATCAAGTTATACAAATTATGCTCTTTTCCCTACAGAAATAGTGAAACACACACATAAAAATTAAAACAAATGGTGGGGGAAAGAACACAAATTTCAAGTTGGAGAAAGACAATTGCCAATTAACTTACTATAGTTGAAATTATATCTTCAAGAGGCTGAATCCTCACTGATGCCATACTGTTTGTTGCTTCCACAACCTTTTCTCTTCCTTGATTTATGAGGTCCTAGAAGAATGTAAGAAATAAGTTAGCTTTAAAGTATAGAATTACCAATTTATAGAATTGAAAAGAACAGCAAACTTCAGCATCAATAAAGTGGAATAAAACTCATCAGTGAAGGTCTTGTAAGGAAGATAAAAGTTTGGGTTTTATTGAACCAATAAGTTAATAATTTAAATGACTCCATAAATACATTTTTAAAAGGAAACCACAGATTCCATTAAGTTATTAAATTATTGGAATAATAAAATCTAATATTTCTTAGTTACTTCATAATTGATTCTAGTTTTAAGTCAATTATTTCATAATACTGGGGATTATCATATACTTAGTGTTGCATCTACATGGCATTAGAGTATAAATCTATGTTTGAATTTATCCTACTTTCAGACATTAAACAAGTAATTTATTTATTCAAAATATTTTATAACTGAAGAAAGTGCTATTTCCCTACTCAGTCATCTACCCTCTTGTTCCTTAAATAAAATAATTCAAACTACATTAAGGGCCTGATTCCCTTATGCTCTAAATCACATTTTACTATACTATGCTGGGTCAAAAAAGTCAACAAATAAAATTTTCTTGGTCCATTTAGAAGTAATCTTTTTTGGAGAATGTGATATTCCTGCATAGGGAACCCTCAACAACGGGGCACTTGAAATTGCTTTTAATTCAAGTTAAACTACTTTTGTAGTTCAAAACTTACCTCCAGCTGTTGATTACTCATTGCTGACAGGGCTCCCAAATTGAAAGGAATATAAGGAGTTTGAGAGTTGAAACTGACAGGGGGAAAATTGGTCCCAGTTGGTATGTTGAAACGCATGGTCAGTCCCTAAAAACAAAAAATTATGCGCTTATCCACACTGTGATTCAAAACTTGAAATTCTACATCACCTACTGGTTTAGAAAAGAATCAATATTCTCAGATTTAGGAAATTATTAACACTCTTCCACACACAAACAAAACACCCTTTTCATCCAAAACCAAGATCTTATTACACAGAAAGCTTTAACCCCTAAAGGTGGACTCTTTTTCTGATAATTCCCACAGAATGGAGCAACTAATAATTCTGATGAGACTCCTAACATCACATTAACATTAAAGAGTTTGGTACAATGAGTTAGGAGTTTAAAAAGAATTCATGTATTAGGATAAGGTTTCCCATGCTCAGGCACATTTTTGCTCAAGTCGGTTGGTGGGACTATTTTAAATGAAGTTGCTACTGGAGAATGACATTAATGTCCAATCATGAAATATTTTTGTGTCCTGATACACATTCAATCAAAATTTAGATTTCATAGCCCACGTGCTAAAACAATGTTTATTATTTCCTACCTCCAAACTCTAAGCTCCTGCATGTCTGTTACTACAGTGAGGGTGTTGATTGGAGTTAAGTGATGCTAAATATATACCTTTCCACTAATCTCTCAATTCAGCAAGTGCTAAGCAGAAGTGGGGTTAATACTCTTTAAGTGGAAAATATTTCCTTCTCTCCTCTTTTCCCACTCTACCACCAAAGGTAGCCAATGCCTGTAAACAGACTGATATCTGAAACTTCGTTCTTGAAGACTCACCTATTCCAAAAGTGATCTTTCTTCCTCAGTACTCTTTCAAATTACTAACATCAAAACAAAAATCAAAAATCATTTCAAATATCTAACCTTCTTCTCTGCTTCATACTCAGCCCAAGCTGCTTTTCTTTCTTCTTCAGTCAACTCTTCTTCTTCTTTGTGGTCCAAAAGAGAATCATGCTCATGATATCCTACAATGTGTTCTTTATGTATCTGAAGAAGTTCTGCAAGTATGGTGTCCTGTTTAAAGAGGTTGAAATAATAGAATTATTTCCTCCCTCTGGATGGTTATTTGATGTACTGTTAGACTAGAAACTAGAACATGACTGTTATACATATTTCTGATATATATGATAAATTACCTAGAAAACAGTTGCTAAACATGCAACACCAGTCTGTTATGTAAGAATTTCACATTTATATAGCATATTTTGGGGAGTCGGTTTTTTAATGACTAATTTTCAGAGTTCAGGGTTTTTTTTTCCAACTTTTAATTTATATTTATTTTTTTAGGAAGAGAGGGAGAGAGAGAAACGTCATTTATTTGCTGCCTCTGTCATGTCCGATATGGGGGATTGAGCCAGTAACCTGGGCACGTGCCTTGACAGGGAATCGAACCAGTGACCTCTTGGTGCATGGGACAATGCTCAACCAACTGGGCCACACTAGCCAGGGCACTTTTTTCCTAAATCTTTCACACGTATTTTGTGCTTTGTTCTAAGTTCATAATAAATGCTAACACAAGTCTTAGGAAATCAGAAATTACATTGGGTGCTTGTGTTAAAAATCATGGCTACTCCTATTTATACATTACTTAACAACTTTGTTTTCACAATCATTTTAGTTATCAACTACTATGCTAAAAAAAAAATCTAAATTAAACAGCTACAAAACAATTTAACTGGAACATATAGTCCTTATATTTCAATTATAGGAAAGTAAAATATAAATTGCACTGTTAAGGACACATTGACATACATTGTTTATCAATTTATTATAATGGTGCCTTTTCTCAAAGTCACAGTGTTTCTTAAGTCAGTCTTTTAAAGTTAAAAAAATTAAAAGCTTAAAAATTGAGATCATTTATATATTCAGTGAGAACACCAAACTTGTGCGCTGTGTAATTATGATTACCAGAGAGACACACACAAAGAGAGATTGGGTAGAGGGGAATGTGTTCCTTACTAATAAAAACAACTTAATATTCACAAGTTGTTTATTAACAAATCACAGATGAAAACTTGAATATATAAAAGGCAAATCAATTCACTTCACAAAATGATTTTCCACAGCTTCTAACAGCAAGTTCCCTTAGAACATACTTTCTAAATTGTGAATTTAGTGAAGGAACATAAATAATTACTGGCCAAAGGAAGGTATAGGGAAGTTTATAGCAAATTAAATTTAATGTGTATCTAGTAATCCTTTTGTCCCCATAAATTTTTTAGCATAGACAAAGCCCACAGTTGTAAATAATTTTATGTTCATATCTTTAACCACACCTAGAGTATAGGGTCCAACACATGGTAGGAAATCAAATGTCTGTTAAATAACTCAAGATGAAAATTTTAAATCATAAGGCCCTAAGTTTTTTTCTGTAAAACAGCAAATGCTGACACTAATTCCTAATATTCTGACATTTGATCGCATGTAAACAACTTTTTATCTTGCTACCTTAGTAAGTACCTGAAATAATTACTTCATAATTTCATAAAGGGATTTTCTTAATGGATACTGCTAATTTAGATTAGACTTTATAATTGATTTTGCTGTGCATGTGATATTTCTTTTATGGAAAATAAAAAACATTAAAAAGATAGTACAAATGAGAGAGCTCAAGAAAATCTACTAATGGGGAACATATATGTTAACAGGTTTAGAACTTTTGAAATGTTAACTAAACATTTCTATCCTTTACCAGTGTAGAAATCTGCCATCAAAGCCGACTTCTCTGGCTTATAGAACAGGCTTTATCATCACTAGACAGACCTCCAAAGTTCAGAGCTACTAACCAGGAAGGCACAGAAATAGGCCAGTCTGAACTAAATTTGTTTAAAAAATAATGCTTCTTTAGACATGTGTCTCCCATGCTTACTCCCCAAGTATAACAACAACAACAAAAAAGGTATATAATAAAACCAGATAACATTGCCAAATACAGTTGGTAAATCAGCTGTTCTACAAAATACCAAATAAATTACAAGGTAGAAATGTTCTAAAGAATAGTCCCTAATTTTATTTCTGTTTGGCAATGTGATGTTCTTAAACATAGTAAAAAATCATTTCTCTAAGAAAGCAACCTGAAGGAAAGACCAAGAGAACTGTGTCCTAAAAACTGACTTTTTTTTTTTCAGCTATGCTACTGATTCTCTCTGTAACACTGGATAATAACTTAGTCAAGCTATGACTGTAAGTTAATATGAAATACCCTTTGCTCACATGTGTTAACAGAATGACTGAATAAATAACTCATATATATCTTTTAAAATAAGAACTAGCTGAGACTAGAAGCTGTTTCCTGACTCCTATCCAGTGATCATCTATACTAATAAAAGGGCAATATGCTAATTAGACCCAACATCTTCAGGACATCCTTCCGGACAAAGCCTCAGAGGTGGAGGCTGAGGCAGAGGTTGAGACAGAGGTAGTTAGGGGTAGTCAGGTCAGCAGGGGAGGGCAGTTAGGGGCAATCAGGCCAGCAGGCAGAGGCAGCTAGGAATTAGGCCAGCAGGCAGGAGAGCAGTTAGGGGTGATCAGGCCAGCAGGGGAGCAGTTAGGGGCAATCAGTCCAGCAGGCAGAGGTGGTTAGGGGTGATCAGGCGGTCAGGCAGAGAGGTTAGGGGCAATCAGGCAGGCAGAGGTGGTTAGGGATGATCAGGCAGGCAGGCAGAATGGTTAGAGGTGATCAGGCAGGCAGGCAGGTGAGCAGTTAGGAGCCAGCGGTCCCGGATTGCGAGAGGGATGTCCTAGGGGTCCCAGATTGAAGAGGGTGCAGGTCGGGCTGAGGGAACTCCCCCCCCACCCCCGCATGAATTTCATGAACCAGGCCTCTAGTCTTATATAATAAAAGCATAATATGCTAAGTGTCCGGTCATCTGTTCAACCAATCAAAGTATAATATGCTAATGATATGCTAAGGCCACTCAATCATTCGCTATGATGTGCACTGACCACCAGGGGGTAGACTATCCAACTGGTAGGTTAACTTGCTGCTGGGGTCTGGCCGATCAGGTGATCAGTGAGACAGGTTGGACATGTCCTGGAACCCTCCCATGATCCCTCCCATGTCTCTCCCTGACCCTGATTGTGCACTGGTGGGGTTCCCCTTGGCTTGGCCTGCACCCACTCGCAACCCAGGAACCCTCAGGCATGTTGGAGAGCTGGTTTAGTTCTATCATACAATAAAGAATGCCTGCTTTGTTGAGGCATAGTTCTTCTGTTTCCCAGATCTGTTCTCTGAGATAAAAAAGATAATCCCCTGGAGGATTCTGGGTGAGGTAGAAACCTAAGTAGGACTTTTCTAAAAAATTACTTTTAACGCTTTTATACTTTTTGAAGTTTTATTTTAAAGAAGCACATATATGTTTAAATTTTTAATTAAAGAAAATATAAAAACTGAAACAAATACAATTCTCACACACAAACTTGTGAAAGCCAGCTCATGCTTAGCCTAAATCTGACATGACTATTTTACCATATTCATCTTCAAGAGCTATTCCGCCTTAGGAAATCCCATTTCTAAAACCTTTTAATATCGTCTCTCTATCAATACCAGATTTAAAATCTATCCTATCTAGTCACCCATGATTATCTAATTAGGTCAGATTATAGTTGAGATTCAGCTTCTGCCCATGCATTGTCTTTCTTTTGACTTATAGTCAACTAAAATGCCAATAAGTGAGAGGAAAATTGTATGTGACTTTGTTTGGATCATTAAAAAATGTTGGATCATGCCCGGCTGGCGTGACTCAGCATCGACCTATGAACCAGGAGATCATTGGTTCGATTCCCAGTTAGGGCACATGCCTGGGTTGGCTCGATCCCACATGATCCCCAGTGTGGGACGTGCAGGAGGCAGCTGATCAATGATTCTCTCTCATCATTAATGTTTCTCCTTCTCTCTCCCTCTCCCTTCCTCTCTGAAATCAATAAAAGTATTTTTTTAATGTTAGATCCTTTTCCTAAACATTACTTCCTTTAAAACATCAAATAAAAAAAACCATTCATATTGCTTCTACTGGCTACACCACTCACTTCTTTTCGAAGAAAAAAAACTTTAATGAAAACAATGCTCATATTCTAATATAAAACCTAGAGATGACTACTGGTAACATTTGTTGTATATATTCCTCAACATTTACACTTACACACAAACACACACACTTTTACATAAAATGGAATTATACTTTACAGTTTAGAAATCTTTTCTGCCTTCATATCTTTCCATGGACATCATTATGCCTCAAATACATCCTTTATCACTTTAAATATTATTAAAGACATTTAACAATAAGGTATTATGTAGATATACTTTATCATCTGCCTAATTTTTTCTCTTAAGTGTTTATTAAAATATTTAGGCCACTTTTTTAAATTACCAAATTTGTAATGAAACAGGGTAATGGATACATTTTAATGTATTTCAAACCCTAGTTTGTACAATAATTATGCTGATAATTATCAAGGACTTAAACAAGTATGTTTACCACAATCTTCATTTTAACAAAGGAAAGACATTACATGTACATTAACTGACTTTTACAGGAACACAATTCATTTGTATAGTTCAGAAGCAGGAAAGCAGAAAGTTTTCTTTCCTTCAGAGTACTGCGTGAAGCACAAATAAGAGAAAGAAAATACAGGATTTCTGAAACAAACTCCTTCTACATCTTTTCCCTTTTAAATTAATTGCAGCATGCTATCAATACAAGAAACAGATGATGTGATTAAGAAGGCAAAAAAAAGTATTTGTAACAGAATCCTCCAAATATTTCTTTGGGAAAAAGCTTTGCAAAGTCTAGAGTGAGTTACAAAAGTTAATAAAAGAAATTTTCATCCCAATATACAATACAATCAGTGGAGAGGTTTTTTGTTTTTTCCCCTTGAAGCATGCATTTATATTAGTTGCTATAGTAACACTATTATTGAAAACAATACTGGGACAGAATCTATAATCACTAGGCCAACAGTCATCAAAATGAGGTTTAAATTACATCCAAATGTGTACCTTTACTTTTCTT